GAGAGAGAGAGAGAGCTTAGGGCTTCTTCTGTTGGTTCACGTATGCTAAGATTTGTTTATTTGGAAGCTGAAGCTAGGTGAAGCTAGAAGTGGGAAATTATCAAAAGCCCCTATATTTTGAGGAAGACTAGTCATAGTGAAACTATGGTGCATAAATGAATGCAACTCTATCAGCTTGTGACATATCAAACCAAAGCTATAATTTATGTCCATGTCCTTCATCTAAGGAAAAAGTTGACACTGATAATACATCCTTTTCTGTGATTCAGACATGACAGTGATTTTTTCACCTGAGACTATCATTCACATGGGACTTCTATCCATGTAAAAAAATGTTTTGATCTTCTCAATTCTTATTCCATTGCAATGTATTTTTGACCACTCTCATCTGCAAACCCAATACGTAAAACTTGAATTGGTTGGGGTTGATTTGATTTTTTTTGTTTTTTATGTATGGTAAGGAAATTATTTGAATGAGACCTTCCTTCTGATACCATGTTAAACAAACTACTGGTCGTTATCACCCCATCTAATATCTCAAGCTCATAGATGAGACATGATCTTTACTTTTATCTTCTTAGCGTATTGAATTGAAAGATTTTTCATCTGTTACTTTATATTTTGCGTATTGAATTCTATTTTTTTCATCTGTTACTGTATGTCACTGTGCATCTGTGGAGTGGATAGTTGACTGAGTGGCCCTGCAAATACTTTTGAAGGAATTTGATGCTCTTGCAAAGTCACACGTCAGCGTCAAGGAATTAATGCGCATTTATCGATTCCTGTTGATATCCACAACTCACCTCAAGAACCTAGACTGTAATTGGCATCGCCATCAACCCTCGCAAATTCTTTCAAGGAAAGGGCGGTTTATCTACATAAAAGGGTTCTACAAGAAGACGAAAAAGGTAGATGATTCCAGAGTTTGTCCTTTCCAAATTGATTATGATTCATCTAAATGTTACGAATACCATCAACCGATAAGTAGCCCTAAAATAAGCTCTTCGATATTCTACAAAGACTTTGCATAAACAGATCTAAGAAACGAGCCATCAAGAAGGAATCCAAAAATAGTAAATAGTTCTCCGTTACCTTGGACGCGAGGCCGGGAGTGGTAGCTGGAGTTGGAAGAGGCCATTGCGGCGGCCGGAACCGGTGCCGCGATTCCACCACCAAGAGGAAGGGGGGAAGAGAATGGACTCTGAGGGAACAGGATGTGAAAAGGAAGGGATGTAAAGGGGAGGTGAGGTTGGAAAGGAAGGGAGTGGGGTGGTGCAGACGACGGGGGCGGCGGCCCAACGATGAGGCATCTCAAAAAGCTTTCCGCAATTAAGTATGCACATAGATAGAGAGAGAGAGAGAGAGAGATAGAGAGAGAGAGGTATATAGATATATAGTGGAGGGAGGAGGAGAATAGCGTGAGAGGGACGGTGGAGGGATGGAAAGAGAGATTCCTTCGTCTCCAAAAGGAATGCGTAGAGCGTAGAAAGAAAGAAAGAAAGAAAGAAAGGGGAGCGACAGGGAGAGGGAGAGGCGAGCGGTCGCGCTTCGATATTTCAAACGGGATCGACGTGGATCGGATTAACCGACCCATGTTACTCTTTTGAGGGTCTCCCTTCCGTACCACGCACGCAAAATCATATATACATAATATCCCCTCCAAAATAAGTATTATATCATTTCGGCTCTCCTTTTTCCTCGTTCTTCCGAGGTATGACGGCTTCAAACTCGCAGTTTTTATTCTCTTAAAGAATCTTTAGTGTTCTAATGATTTGATTTCGTTGAAACTTATATTATGCTTTATTGTAAGAGCATTTGACGTTCGATGTGTTTTCCAGCAACTGTTTCCTTGCACGGCTTTGGAGTTTAGACTCGCATCAATATTGAATGATCTGATCCATGGATTTCACACCTCTTCGTGAGTGGCCAACTTATACATGCCTGCTATCTTTTCTTCGTGGCTTGCTTTCGTTTCTCTTTCAATATCTTATTTTTAAGAAAATTGCATGTATATATCCTTTCTCAATTAAGTGATTTCTATATCTTTATAATATTTTAAAATTTACATGTTCAAGTTAACGTCTATGATTGCTATTTAGAACCCTAAATACTATTGTAACTTGTTAGAGCAGAATTTGATTATCCGTTTGCTTTAAAGTCATCTTTATTCGAGCTTATGTCTATCATAAACTCGATGTTAGAAGATGAGTAAGTTTAAAAAAAAATCACATCGTAAGCATACTTAAGAAAGCTCATTCGATTCGATGCTTAAGTCAGCATGGGACTAATTACAAATTGTCCCATATAGTTAAATGTTTTTAGCGTCTACGTCTCTATACTTTAAAAAGTTATATTGACATCCCTATACTTATAAAAATAAAATAATTATATCTATTTATTCTAATGATATTAATTTTATCAATAAAAATATAAAAATAAAGGATAAAAGATAATTTTAGTATTCGATGGTAGACATCATCGGTGGCGGACAATAGCGTTTCTTGCATCAGTGGTGGCAGACCCCTCTCCCTTCGCATCTACGTCAGCATCAATGTAGATATTGAGTGGTCGCCGCCGTCTAATCCATGCTCCATCGGCAATCTCTGCATTGTGTTAGACCGCCTTCCCAGTGAGTGGTTACTATTGTTGGACTAAACCATCACCATCACTCATGCCTCCTTGATCATCTGCAACACCTCCCACATTGGCAACTGCCTCTTCGCCTCAATTGCTATGCATACCATCGTGACGTTCAATAGCACCATTAGCTTCTCCTCGAATGTCTCGTTCCCGGATGACCTAAGGTCCTTATTGAAGTTATTCCACTCCTCCTCCCGCATAAAGCGAACCCCCTTCCAGGACCTAATGAAGGAACATGATACTAACATCTCCCATTGGGTCCGCTTTGTGCAAGAGGAGGAGCCGTGCTCCTCCATCGGGGGATGTTCGCTCTGTGCAGTAGAAGGAGCTATGCTGATCCACTAGGGGATGTCGAAGTCCTCGAGTCATCCAAGAACAAGGCATCCGAGAAGAAGCTAACAATGTTGCTAAACATTGCAATGGGTTACATAACGGTCGAGGCGGAGAAGCAACCGCCTATGCAGAAGGTGCTACGGATGATCAAGGAGGCACGACGGAGGTGATGGTCTCATTCAATAGCGACGACCACTCGCTGGGGAGGTGGTTGGACATGATGTAGAGCTTGTTGAGGGAGTATGGATCGGAGGGTGACAATCGCTCGATATCTGTGTTGACATTAACACAAATACAAAGTGAGAGGGGTCTGCCACCACTAGCGACAATAATGTTATCGTTCGTCACCAAACATTAAAATTATTTTTTTACTTTTTATTTTCGTGTTTCCATCGATAAAATTAACGTCGTTAGGGTAAATGAAACTAATTATTTTATTTTTCGTATCCACCAATGTAACATTTTAAAATTTAGAGATCAATATGTAATTAGCTTCGCTTGAGCATCACTCTATCAACTTAACAAGTTAACAAGTTAATTAGTCCAGGTTGTAATATATGTTGTTTAGGGTCACAAATTTAGTTTATAGAGTGTCAATATGATGATGATGAGGTGTCAGCTTGTGATGGTGGCGTGCAGAGAGTCTTTTAGATGTATCATCGTCCACATATCGTAACTTTTAAAAAATTTACATCAAAAAGGTCAGTTATGTATGGTATATAATTTAAAACAATAAATATTAGCAACAGTCGATCATAATTAACCTAACTTTTCTAGATGAATATTAAGTAAATGGATATATGCTATCCTAATATTTACAAGTGTAAATCTGTAATTTTGAAAAAAAATTAAACTTATATAAAATTTTAGACGTTTATATTATACCTAAAAGATCACATATATTTTATTTTTTTTGTATATTACAAAATATGCACCGAGTTAAACATCTGCCGCACCGAACATTCCCGCTAAAAGATTTCTGATCCCACATGGCTAAAGCTGGACCCACTTGAAAACGTTTCTGAGAACACCACGTAGGATGATACGGACTTAGGTGAGGTCTTTCGGTACGCGTAATTTCACTTGGGAAACACCGTAACGTAACCAAATAGGATATTTTTGACACGGAGTCGATAAAACGCGGCAGTGATCACCGCATCTGCCGGTTCACCCACCTACCCTCCCTTCCATCGGCACTTTCGCCGCTCCGTCGGCGGCTTCGCAAACCCCGCCCCGGTCACTCCTTCCTCTTCGTCGTTCCCTCCTTCACCCTCTCATTCTTGTCTCTCCCGATCTTCATCGCTGTAATCGTCCGGTCGCAAGAACACACACTTGCGGTTCGTGCCAACAGGGGCGATTAGGAGGAGGTTTTATTTTTGATCGATCGATCGTGGTCGATCTGATGGACCCGGAAGTGCTTGATGGCATCATCGGCCGGCTGCTGGAGGTGCGGACGGCGAGGCCCGGCACGCTGGTCCGACTCGCGGAGGCGGAGATCCAGCAGCTCTGCACCGTCTCCCGCCAGATCTTCCTCGGCCAGCCCAACCTCCTGGAGCTTGAAGCCCCCATCAAGATCTGCGGTCAGCTTCGACCTGCTACCTTCCCTTCGACTGATTTGCCTTGTTTATTTCTTGGCTTGATCGTGGCCGTGGCTCGTTCTTGGATCCCAGGATTACTGTGCGTGTCCCTTTGTTTACTGGTTTTGATTCGATAATCTGGAATTCGCTTGGGGAAAGCAGGACAAATTAATTATATCAGATAAAGTATACGAATTAGGGTTTTTTTAGGTGGAAAAGAAGCTGAGTTTGTTTAGGAATCACATATAAAAAGCATAACGTTCTTTTAGGTGGATGGATATCCAAGGGTGTTTCTTGACTCTTAGAAGTCATGATATTGTAATATCTACGGTGTCTTATGCTTTGTCATTCCTGTTCCCCTCTTTGGTGCTAACTGTCGTTTTAGATACTGTGCCAATTAACCTTTCAAAGTGGTCAAGAAAGTTTAAATTACAAATTCCTTGTAAAAATAGTAACTATTAGATCTTTACTTAAAATCTATATAAATATCGTGTATGATATCTATATCTCAAATTGATAGTGCAATATCTGCACCCATTCTTTAATTAATTTCACTCACTTGATTTAAATATGAAGAGGAAAATCTGTGTTTGTTTGAGGAGAAGCAGGTACTGCTTGTTTGCTTCTTGTTGATCACGAGGGTCAAAATGAAATCAAGTTGACAGGCTACTACCAAATCTGTTGAGGCTATGTGCTTTGATCTCTAGTTGGAAAAAGCTGTTCTCACATGCAAGTGGATGATGGAAGTAGGTTTTGCAAATCTAAGTGGTTCTTCAATTGAGGTACAAACTTGTGAAAGATCTCACAAGTTCAACTGATTACTCAACTTGGAATGTTCACTTAGGATAGCTTGCTGAGCTGTTGAGGTGTCCAAGGGTTTATGCAGATCATATCTCTTGTGAAATATGAACTGATTCATCAACTTGGAATATTCAATTATACTAGGTTTACGCAGACTACAGCTCAGTTTATCTTGCTGCATCATGGCATGAATTAATTGCATGCACCAGATGATATATAAGCTCCAGAAGTAGTGGACTAAGTACCTGAAGGTTCCTGCTTTTCCATAAGTGAAAAGGGGAAATGGAGCTACAGGAAAAATGATTGAACAGGAAGCTTCACTAAAAGTTTACAGAAAACCGATAGATGCAATCATGTATATGATACAGCCACAATTGGTCATATAGAGTCAATACAAATGTTTACTTGATACATGGAATTTGTCTTTTGATTTGAACAATCCATGTATTTAGTTAACTAATTTGTCACTCTGATCTTTCTGTGACTGATTAATGAGGATCAAGAAGTAATTTGATAGAAAATCATGATAGAAGTGGCTTTAATTTATAATGCAGCCTATCTACATCCAGCAAGCATCTGTGAGTCATTTGCTACATTTTTTTCATATCCTTTACATGTATTGAGTTGCTGATCTGTGCTCTTGTGATTGCAGTATATTTTTGTCTGTTATCTTAATGCCTGTTTGGTGCAAGGAAAATAGTAGAAGATTTTCCTCTCTTTCTAGAAGTGTTTTTCATATAGAATACATGTAACAGACTCTTTTTTCTTCAAAGGGTAATGTGGTGAAGACGGGATTTGAGTCTATGACCATGCAATAATCTATCAATGTATTTACTTAGCTTATCTGACACCTTCAGTTGGCACGTAACTTGCTTGGACCTTGTGATACATGAACTTAGATTGGCACGTAATTTAATTTATTTAGTGCAAGTTGCTTGTTTAATTCCAATTTTAGCTTAACACCACCTATAAATGTAGTGTCTTTGAAAATAAAAATTATATGTATGAACATTTTCTATAAAGTGGGGCCATCTCATTGTTATCATAATAGGAAACAAATTAATGTGATTTCCCAACATATCAACATGTAAAAGAATGATGTTTTGGTACAATAACAATAGGAAGATAATGCATTATATTTCACATTAGCATTAACAATAATGATTTGTAAAACCTCATGCAACAGCATATGTAGAGCCATGCTTCAAGTTCTATAAACCATCTATTTTTTGAATTTTATAATGTAAGATAGACACCTGAGGAACACATATTCAGACCTGTAAGTTGAGAGTTCCCACATATACTAGGCATGAAGAAGTAGTACAATAATCTTGGTGGCAATTTCTGGCTCATATGTGTTCGCCAACAAAGAACCTAGTACTCTGATCACCATTGTCAAACTGGGTCTGTTACACAAATGTATCTGATGACAGAAGCTTGCTGAACAACTTCTTACATGTTTGAAGTGGTAATTTAACAACAAGAAACATGACCAATGTATCACTGAGTAATCCTGCACAAAATGCATTTAAGTTATTGTTGCATTCAAATTTTTGATAGAATCAGCTATGGTTTTAAAAAGTGGTTTATACTGCCTGGTGGTTCAGTCAGCAGACTGTTTGGTGGCATGTATCAGGGCTATCTGCATAATCAGACGGAATACAACATATGTTGCTGCCTAATGCTGCATGATGGTTAATGATTCAAGATGTAATTGGATTTTTTATATTTCTAATGTTTGGACTTCTGCTAAGCTTGCATAGTGCGTTTTCATATGGTCATAGGATCTACTCATGTATATTGGACTAGTTATGTGATAAATAAACTATAATTTACTTTATTATAATGTCATATATTTGCTGGTAACTTGCCTTATTATGCTTGAGTGTGTTATGATATATTGTTGTCTACATGTTAAATGTGCTGGGTTGAATATATTTCAATAATTATTTTTATATTTTATATATTTTTCAATAGAATAATGTTGTGTGTCAATATGCTGCATGTGCACTTTGTGGTGATATGACTGCTTGGACATTGCTTCCATTTTTTCTAACCTTGTTTGCATATAAACCCCTGGATCAAATTATTGAATTTAGTCTCTGGGAAAGTCTTGTTCAGAGTTGACCAATAAACCCTCATTCATCAAGTTGGTTGAACCTTTCGTTGACAATATTTGCTATAGATAGGCTCGTTCAACTCAAGTTGACTTATCTGGGTATCCTTTGATTAGTATTATGTAGATTCAAATCTGGAATAGCATTGAACTATGTTTGGGTTTTACTTCTGGTGATGGGTTTAAGGTTTGGTTACATGGATAGGAATCAGACTTATCCAATTTTGTAATAAATACTTTTGTATTTTTGGTGTCAAAATGAACTGGCCAAAACAGAAATCTGAACCAGATTGGTGCACTTGGTTCAGTTTGGCTCAGTTTTTCCCCTTCAATTGTGATCGCTTTGTTTTGGAAAGTTGAAAACCAAGCAACTATCAGTGCAATTTCAGCTTCAGGTCTAAATAATTCTTTAAATGGAACCGAACCATATCTCATATATTTATATATATTGCATATAAAACCATCAAAATAATATGTTTCGACTGTATTTTTTATATAAGCTTTACGCCCGTAAGTTTATCTCAGACATCTTTTTTGAAGCCAAATAAAAAAATGGAAAGAATAAAAAAATTTTGCTTGATTTTGATTCTTTTTTTTACTATGGTTTGGTTTGGTGTAAAGTTCTGCAAATGAAACAAGTTCAGTTTGGTACAAAGTTTTCATAAGACTGAACTGAACCATGTGGCATGTGCAGACCTTATCACTTTTTCTTTTTTAATTCTATCTTTTTTTCCTTCTTCAGCCCAAGCCTTAACACTCTTTTTGTTGCTGCATTTGCAGTGCTGCAATGACCAGAATGTTAGGAAATTGTTCGTCGATGCCTGGCTGCTGTTTTATGCATGATGAGGCACCCATGGCTGATCTCAACATAGACGGGCCATGGCTCTTTGGCCAAGGTAGCTGGTCTGAAGACTGGTTGCCATCCTCAAATGTGTTAGTTGTCGGTGCAATTCCCACCCCCTGGCGCTTTGGATTTCATTGAATATTGGCGCATAAGGTTTTGCAAGATGACACCAACTCTAATTGGCGATGATGAATTGACAACTGGGAAAGATGATGTTAATGTGTTAGTCCTTTGACATCACATGGTCGATAAACCGAAACATATTGTTTACTATTAATTATGATTTATACTATAGGTCTTCACCCTGTCGTTTTCCTGTGAAAACTGGGACATATATCTATTGCTGCTTGCTTGTAGAGCCCAAAACATAGCCACATGTCTAAACTCATAATTACATTCACCTTAGAGCTAACTCTGCTCCTTTGCAGTTATTTAGAATTGCTAGAGCAATATTAACAAGCAATATTCACACAAATGCCCTTTGTTTGATGTAAAGAGAGATGATCATCTTGTCAATGTTTATACGCCTTATGGTCATTGTGTTGAAGTCCTTTACTGATTGATTATTCCTTTACTCTTTGTGTTTCAGGTGACATTCATGGCCAGTATAGTGATCTCTTAAGGCTTTTTGAGTATGGAGGTTTTCCTCCAGTTGCCAATTATCTATTTTTAGGTGATTATGTGGATCGGGGAAAGCAAAGCTTAGAAACAATATGCCTTCTTCTTGCATACAAAATTAAGTATCCAGAGAACTTTTTCCTTCTGCGTGGAAATCATGAATGTGCTTCAATAAATAGGATATATGGATTTTATGATGAATGTAAGAGGAGGTTTAGTGTGAGACTCTGGAAGATCTTCAGTGATTGCTTTAACTGCCTTCCTGTAGCTGCCGTTATTGATGACAAGATCTTATGCATGCATGGTGGCCTTTCCCCTGATCTCTCCAAGTTGGATCAAATTAAGAGTTTACCTCGGCCATGTGATGTACCTGAAAGCGGTTTACTGTGTGACTTACTTTGGGCAGATCCTGGTAGAGATGTTCAAGGTTGGGGAGAGAATGACAGAGGGGTCTCTTGGACTTTTGGTGCTGATAAAGTTTCTGAGTTCTTATTAAAACAAGATTTAGATCTTGTCTGCAGGGCACATCAGGTAATAGGTCTAATATGTTCTTGTTTATGAACTTAGATTAATGTTCATATGTCTCCAATCCATGCTTTGCAGGTTGTGGAGGATGGCTATGAATTCTTTGCCGACAAACAACTTGTGACGATATTCTCAGCCCCAAATTATTGTGGTGAATTTGATAATGCTGGTGCTATGATGAGTGTTGACGAAACTTTGATGTGCTCTTTCCAAATTCTCCAGCCTGCTGAAAAAAAACCAAAATCTCTGTTGCCAACCAGAATTTAACAACCAAATAATAAACTATGATCAAGGTCAGTCACACCAAAACCACAACTCTTGTCTCCTTACATTTGTTAATTGATCTTCAAAATTAATAATAATTTTTTTTTTGTATTTCTGTAATTAACTCATTCGGCCATCTTCTTAGATTGAGGCTATATTAACTCTATTACGTTGACACTATTGTGATGATTGAATACTGCACTTGCTTAGGCTTGCATTTTCATCTTGTTGGAATTTCAGATTGCAAGCAAGCCTTCAATCAGATATTAGTGGGGAGCGACTCTTTTAGAAGAATGTAACTGACTGATTCAATTGGGGTTTTGACATAGTCATACAGATTTATTGTTCGATGGAACAGGTATTGATGACAAAAGAATTGGATTTTAGGCTCCTCTAGACTTTATGGCAGGATACTTAAATTAGTGTTCAATGAATAAGTTGGGAGAAGAACAAAAAAAAAAGAATTGCAGGAACATTTTCCTTCTTTTGGTAAAGGTATTGATTGTCTTCTAGACTTTGCATTGGTAGGAGGCTCATGCACTAGGCCATCCTGTTTTTGGACAAATTAAAAACCTAGCACCTTGCCCCACTATGTATCTAAGACTTGCAAGGGTTGCAATCTCTTATTTCTTTATGAAACTTCTGAAAGCAGAGAAGTCCATGGATCTCTTGAGAGAGTAGGCTCTTTGAATAAATCCATTATCTGTGATAAATTAGGATTTGAGAGATATCTTTTCTGCAAAATCACCGAAATATGCTTCTTGACTAATATTTATGGAAACCACAGTTTTACTCTTATGGCATTTGTTTATCCATGAACTCCGATGTCAGAGGTTTCAGCTTCCTTTAAGGTCCTCTCGTCATTTAAATACACAAATGAAAATAACAATTTTGTCAATGATATTTTAATTTCTCACACAACTTCTGTGAAACTTTAGTCTGACTGTTTCATCTCTAAGCTTAAATGATTTTATAAATGGAGATCTCTGCATGAAACTGTTGGCTTTTGAGATGGTGCCAGATTGGGACAGGACTTCACCTGCAGAAAAGAAATGCTCAAATGCCCAACTAAAACATGAAATTTGGTTCATCTGGATATTGTGGGCCTAAAAGAAAATGTCATCTCCCTGCACATGAAAAATTTGGAGCTTAAGCAGGTGCACGAACTCGTTCAATAGATATCAAGGTCTAGAAATCTAGAATAGCTTTGGATATCCACTTCATCAAGAATATGTCTTTGGTGAAACAGGCTTGCGCCGCCCTTTCCCTTTCGATATTTGAATTTACAAAGTTCCTCGCTCGCTAAACCTTTTCCCAGAACATTTGAAAGTTAGCTGTGATTGCTATTTCCTAGCATGCCTGAAACTTCTCATCCTGTTCTTTTGTTGCTTGTGCTTCATTCTTGGCTGCTATTTGATTATTTTGTTTCTTGATTGGGTTAGCCGCATAAATTCTATAGCCAAGAGGGTCTAACGTCCGTGTTCAAAAACTATGTTTGCCAGGTTAAATCGACTGCATCAATTGAAGATAACAAGGCAGCTGATACTCTTAATTATAGTGAATTTGAGATGCAGTTAAAGAGTTGTTGTAATAAGATGCCATTGGCTGCATGGGCGTCTGCTGCAATCAAACTCCCGGACTTCATCGTAAATGTCAAATTCCAGAAATTATTTTTTTGTACTCTGAAACTGTATTGTATGTGCACATATTTCTTTCCATATTTCTCCCATTTGGAACGATGAAGAAGCATAGCTGCAACTCTTTTCTAGAGAAACATGGGGTAACCTCTATCGGGGATTCACATAACTTGAGTAACAAAAGAATCTAACCAATCTTTTTTTATCTACATGAACTTGCTAGCAAGACCAGCTACAGAAAACTTGATGTAGGTCTAATAATTCTTTTTCCATGTAGGTCAAATAGTTTGACTCGTATTGGCTGCAGCAACCTATTAGTTAGGGTGAAATAGGAATCTTGTTTTGTTGCTGCTCTTATTTTGTTGACCCAATTCACATTTTACTGGACTTGTTTGTTGTTGCTTAACAAGCACACGTTGCCTGATTTCCAGTCGTAAGTGATAGGGATTACATATAAAAATCCATCAGCCAGTGCTTGGGAATCACAAAAATATATATTTTAATTATTTATACTTCTTTTTTGAACATTTAGCATTTACGCACGGAATCACTCGATTTATTTCTGAATAAACTTATTTCAAATGCTATCTTCTTTAATAATTATCTCACTATTCTCATTATGACTATAGTAACTATGTATATTTTGCTATTTCTTAATCAACTTGCACGTTGAATGATTCTTAATCGTCCGATAGTTATTCCTGTCTTATTCCTTGTCCAAGGTGTTAACGCCGTAGCACATCAGCGTCGGAATTAAAAGCATCTGCCAAGGTATATGCCTCAGTGGTGTTCGTGGAATTTTGACAGCCGAATCTTCGTCGACCAAGGGAGACGAATCCTTGTTATGGAAATCAAACATCGAGAGACGAAGAGTCCCAAATTCTCTCTCAATTTTCGCTTGTGATTCACTGCCCGTGGAGTCGATTCCTCTCCTCAAATCGACTCTGAAACAGTGGGGCAATTCGTGGTAGCGAGTCTCGTGTCCGAGTCATCCCTTCCAACGGATCCTTATCTTGGAAATCACACATCCAGAGACGATTCATCTCTCAATTTTCGCACGTGGTTCACGGGCCGACGGACCGCCCACCGACTCGGAAGCAGCGGCGATTCGTCGTAGCGAGTTGCGTGGTCGAGTCATCGCTTCCCTCGTTCTGGATAAGCTCGCCAGATCTTGATATGGATGGATGTCGACGGACAAAAAATGGCAGGCGTCGATCACAAGCGCACCCACCTACCCACACCATAAAGCACGCCACTTCCGCCCGTGGATAAACCCAAGGCAGAGCAGCCGAGACTCGGCAAAGAAAGAAGGAAGCGAAAGCGCGGATAGAAGACGCAGATATGAGGTACAACATGGTGGTGTTCAGCCTGGTCCTCATGGTGGCGGCCGCCTTCTTCGCCTCCGCCACCACCACCGCCTCCTCCTCCCACCCGGAGCTCCGCTCTGCGCTGTCAACCAAAGGTCAGCGTGTACTCCCAACTCTTCCCCAGTTCGATCACGAGATCGACGCCTAACTAATCAGCTTCCTATTTGGTTTCTGGGTCACGCAACAGGGCACGAAGAAGATGGAGAAGGAGTAGGAGAGAGGAGCAGGCAGAGGAGGACATGGCCGTGCTGCGACCGGTGCGGCGGGTGCACCAAATCCACCCCGCCGCAGTGCCAGTGCCAGGACATGGTGAGGTCGTGCCACCCATCGTGCCGGCACTGCGTGCGCTCCCCGCTCAGCGTGTCCCCGCCCTTGTACCAGTGCATGGACCGGATCCCCAACTACTGCCGGCGCCGGTGCACGCCGGAGCCGCTCCTCGCCCAGTAGTATTCGAGCCAATTAGAGGGTCCGGAGGTTTTGCCTTGTTCTGCTTGAGATTTCCGTGGTGGTGTTGTTCCCACCGTATCGTCTCCATTCACCCATCAATTGCGATGTTAATAGTGGACGGCATTCTCACCCATCGACACTCTGCTTTGTTCTTCATCAGTTAATTTAGTCCCGTTTAGCGCGCCCAATATTTGCAAGGAAACAGTGGATGCGATCCGCTTCCGGGAAATTGTTGTAAGCTAAAGCATCGTTGATATCGGTGGTTGTACACACTTAAATTACAACAAAATGACGATGCTTTCGGCCAGCGATGTCGAATAATACCCTTAAATTTGGACGCTTTCGGTGTATTCTTCTCACCAAGTGGGCATAAAAGAATACTTTGGGTTCATTAAAAATAAATAGCGGTTGTTGACCAGCGATGTCCAGCCTTGTGATTCTGAAGAAAGATAAGGAAGACGCAATAGCAAGGAAATAATCTTCATTGATTACTTTGATTTAGTCTGCTTGTTTGAGACTTGGTGTGCAGTCCAATTTGAGTCAGGTTTCTGTTGAAAGCAACTTGGGGAGTACATGATCCATGAAGGCAACAAACTGCCATCTCCACCATCATCTCTGCTTGCTTTCAGTTGAATTGCCCCTCCGGTCTCCAATCCATTACCTCTCGTTCCCCCATTCTTTCCTTCCGTGCGCGAACCAGGCTCGTCGGTCTGTCGTCGGCTCTCTCTTCCGATCCCAAACTCAGGTTAGCTCTGATAGAATGATGTGTAAAAGCAAAAGTATACTATAATTAGTTTGATACAGTATCTATTTATACACGTAGAAAGAGAAGATATTTATCGATCGAGCAACAAAATTTTCTCATGCAGTTGGAGAAATCTCATTTGCTATCATGCCCCTACAAGGTTGAGCTCCTATTAAAGATGTCGATCTTGGACCGATACAACGAAAATAGTTTGCGGGAGAGAGACTTCGTGAGTGAGTTTGCTATTTATCAGTCGTATGTACGTGAGAGACATGTTGTTGATGTTTGACAACTTGATCTCGCATGAAGTGATAGTCGATGACAATACGTTTCATGCATGAGTGAAATATTGGATTGACACATAAGTAGGTAGTTCCAACATTATCACAATATATTATAGGAGTAAAGAGTAAAGTTAGAGTTGACATTGAGTTCCTTGAGGAGATTTGTGACCGAATTAAGTTCAGCAGCAACGGTAGTGATTGCATGGTATTCAGCTTCAGTTATAGACCATGCGATTGTCTTTTTCTTCTTAGAACTCCAACTGATTGGATTAGCTCCAAGGAAGATAATATACCATGACGTGGATGTTTTATCATTAAAGTTCCCCGCCCAATCAACATCAACAAAAGCATGAAGATGAAGTGGAGTGTATTTGTGGAGAAAGAGATCATGATTGAGGGTCCCTTTTGTAATCGTTATTATTAAATATCTAATTTAATAATAATATAACAGTTCTCATTAAGATTCATAATTTATTATCATGAATTTCTTCATTTATTATGATTTAAATGATTTTATTTTTTATTCTTTATACATGAAATCGATATTATTAAATTAAATATTTAATATCATTAAAGTTCTTCATTATGGTCCAAACGTTACAAATTTGAATTAATTCTTGAATATTATGAATTGGTGATGATAAATGTTCTTGATGGGAGAACATCTATATGAGGATTTTGGTCATTGGGCTCAATCATCTCTTTAAAGTAAAAAGACTTTTTTACATCATCTAAAGCGAGAGTTCTGAGCCGAGAAGTGCCAAAGTTAAAGAAGAAACCTCTGTAGAGATTCTTGACAACAATGGCTGGAGGTACACTATTTTATTTCCGCATTAGTTTTTATTGTGTTTCTATTATAATGATTTAGAAATACAAGTTGGCTTCAATGATTTCTTACATTTGGTATCAGAACCTTTTGACCTCTGCCTTGATACGAAATAGTTTTCATTTTTATGCCATGAAAATGATTTGCTTTTGGTTTCTTCTTGGAAACTTCTTGATGCATTTTGTTGAAAATCATGAGGAAATATCATTTTCAACATTTTTAGTTGGTAAAATGCTCATATTACGTATGCATATTTAGTTATATAAAATTATGCTTATGAGTCAATTTTTTATGTTTAAAATGTCTAGTGATCCATATAATCTTAATTAATTAAGAATTGGTCACATCATCCTTAATTAATTAAAATTATATATAAAATTAAAATAAGGATCACATAAGTAATTAGACATCATATTGTGACTGATTATATTTCTTATAATAATTATTATCTCATAGAATCTTTTATTATATTTAATATAATTAATCAGGATAAAATATCAGATTATTTTCATAATTTACCCCTAGGGATTATGAATTGGAATATAATTTGATATTTTTACCATAAAGACTATTTGAATCTATTTGAATTAAAAATTTAGCCAACAGAAAATTTTTATGTCATGAGATTCATATTTTTGACATGTTTCACATTGGTAAAACATGTAATTTAGACGATTAAGCTTCAAATTTTGACACAAGCATGTTTGATTTTATATAGTTTCTCAAACTGTTAATTTCTTTAATATTTGATGTGATATTTCTGAACATAATGGTGATAACTATAAGATATGGAAGGAGAGGGTTCTCCTCCATTTAGGGTGGACGGATATTGATTATGCTATTAGGAAAGATGAACCACCAATAGTCACTAATACCAGCACTCCAACTGAGATCACGTTATATGAGCGATGGGAGCAATCCAATCAGCTCAGCATGATGTTTATCAAAACTAAGATGACTGCTGGCATACGTGGTTCTGTTGACCAGCATGAAAATGTCCGAGACTTGCTAAGAGCTATTGATGAACAATTCGTCACTTCGGATAAGGCACTAGCAAGTACCCTTATAATGAAATTTTCATCCCTTAGACTCACCAACATAAAGGGTGTGCGTGAGCACATAATGCAAATGCGAGATATTGCATCTCAACTTAAGAAACTCAAGGTTAATATGTCAGAATCCTTTCTGGTGCACTATATTCTGAACACCCTTCCACCTTAATATGGCTCTTTTAAAATTTCATACAATACACATAAGGACAAATGATCAATCAATGAATTAATGACCATGTGTATTCAAGAAGAAGAGAGGCTAGTGATGGAATTGGGTGAGAGTGCATTGGTAGTAATCACTCGTGGGAAGAACAAAACTGACAAACATCAAACCAATCAGAAAACTCATCAGCAAGGAAAAGGTAAAATACCACCCCAAGCTGATACCAAGAAACAAGCAAGGTGTTTCTTTTGTAAAAGAAAGGGACACATGAAGAAGGAATGCACAAAATTCCAACAGTGGCTTGAAAAGAAAGGTAAACCAACCTCATATGTATGTTATGAATCTAATATAATCAATGTTAATATTAACATATGGTGGATTGACTCTGGATCAACAATCCATATTGCAAACTCTTTGCAGGATATGCAAAACCTAAGGAAGCTAGTGAGAAGTGAGCAAAGCATCTTATCAGGAAATAAGATGGGCTCACATGTGAAGGCAATTGGAACATGCATTTTAACTTTAAGTAGTGGTTTTGTTTTAAAATTGGAAAGAACCTTTTATGTACCAAGTTTCTCATGAAACTTAATTTTTGTTTCCAAACTCGTACCATTTGGGTATTCCTTTAATTTTAAATATACATCATTTCGTTTATTACATAAATCTGATTATGTTGAGAATGGTATTTTACACCTCTTAATACCAGCGTGAACATGCATTGAACTTTGAGTATTATCATTTTGTAATAAAATACGGTAAAGACCATCTTTATTAATGAGAACTCCTCTATATTATGGCGTCTGAGATTTGGACATATCTCCATAGAGAGAATTAAAAGATTAGTTAAAGATGTGATACTTAGTACTCTTGAATTTACTAATTTTAAGACTTGTATGGACTGTATTAAGGGAAAGCAGACCAATAAGTCCAAAAATGATGCTAATAGGAGTTTAGACTTATTAGAGATAATTCATACTGATATATGTTGTCCAGACATGGACATACATGGTCAGAAATACTTCATCTTTATGTATATATATTTGCTTCATAACAAAAATGAAGTATTGGATGCCTTCAAAGTCTTTAAGGCTGAAGTTGAGAACCAATGTAGTAAGCAAATTAAAATTGTGAGATCAGATAGGGGTGGAGAATATTATGGTAGATATACTGAAAATGGACAAGCACCTGATCCTTTTGCTAAGTTTCTTCAAGAACATGGGATTGTTGCCCAATACACTATGCCTGGTTCTCCAGACCAGAATGGTGTTGTAGAAAGAAGAAATCGAATATTATTAGACATGGTGCGGAGTATGCTTAGCAACTCCAATCTTCCTAAGTTCGTGTGGACTAAAGCACTAAAGACGATTGTATATATATTAAACCGAGTTCCAACCAAGACTGTCCAAAATATACCATTTGAATTATAGAAAGGTTGGAAATCAAGTTTGCAACATATACGCATTTGGGGATGTCCGTCTGAAGTCAGGATATATAATCCACAAGAGAAAAAACTGAACCTGAGGACTATTAGTGGGTATTTCATTGGATATGCCGAAAAGTTCAAAAGTTATAGATTCTATTGTTCAACTCACACAACTAGGATTATGGAATCAAAAAACGCTAAATTTCTTGAGGATGATGTGATTAGTAGGAGCGATCATTTCAGGAATATAGTTTCCGCACATGATCATATAGAATCTCAACCTTCCACATCAAATGATAGATTGATTATAATTCATAGCACTCCTCAAGTACAAACTAGTACTGAACAATCAATCATTGAAATTCCATAAGTTGTTGATAATATTCTAATAGATTAAGCAGTTCAGAAATTACAACAAGCTCCTGAACAACTAGTTGAACCACAAGTTCCTCAAAGAACCATTGGTACAACATTAAGAAGATCTACTAGAAATAAAAGATCAGCAATTCCTAGTGATTATGTTGTATATCTATAAGAATCTAATTATAATATTGGAGCCAAAAATGATCCTGAAACATTTTCACAAGCTATGAGTTGCAAAGATTCAAATTTATGGCATGATGCTATGAAAGAAGAGATGAATTCCATGGTGAGCAATGGAGTCTGGAATCTTGTAGAGTTGCCTAATGAAGTAAAGGCTATTGGTTGCAAATGAGTCTTTAAAATTAAGAAAGATTCGTTAGGCAACATTGAGAGGTACAAGGCAAGACTTGTTGCAAAGGGATTTACTCAAAAAGAGGGAATCGATTATACGGAGACGTTTTCTCCTGTATCTAAGAAAGATTC